TAGCTTCTTGCTCCTAGTAGTAAGGCCGGGAGCCCCTAGTATCTTCTTGCTCCTAGTAGTAAGGCCAGGAACCCCTAGTAGCTTCTTGCTCCTAGCACTAAGGCCAGGAGCGCCTAGTAGCTTACCCATGGTCGTCCGGTGAAGGTTCCCAGGAGGGATGGCCTCCAACCTACTAGCACAGGCCCCCAATAATAGTAATGGCCTCCAACCTAACTGCGAGCCTGGGGTTTGGTGCGGGTTTGCCACATTCTGAGGTTGAAGTCGGATTCGCGGCGAAGCAAGCTGCTGCAGCTCGCGGAGTTTTCTCAGACTCGCTTCTGCAGCCACTACGGCAACAAGCGCCCTCGTGACGTCGAAGCGGGCGTTGCATGCTCTGAAATCGCCTGGAGATACAGTGACGCAGGTTAGTAGTAAAAGATGTTTTGCTTTTGGAGGGCGATTAGGACCCCCCTTCATGTCTAGGGTTTTTTTGTTGCAGGTGTTGTTTTGTTTCAGGTCAGTGAAGCCAATTTCTCAGGCACTTTCAAGCTCATAGAGATTTGGGTTGGAGATCCAGAGTTTCTGATCGAATTGAGCAAGAAGCGTGCCGATTTGGTGATGTGCTGGCTAGAGAATTCAGGTCAGGTCCGGATGTTCTATGATTTAGTTAAGGTTCTGCGGCAGCTGGATCCTTTCCGGCCGCGGATCGTGGAACGGTGCAGGGTGAAGTTGCGGATGGCCATCAAGGATTGGGCCAAGGAGCTGAAGGAAGCAGGAGCCTTGAGGGATGTACCAGCCAAGAAGAAGAGGAACAAGCGGCAGAAGGAGCAAGCAGAACCAGTTCCCCCAAGACGACGGAAGCCGAAGGAAGAGATGGAGCTTGAAATATGGAGGAGGAGTCGTTATTTGGTTCCACCTCACACAAATCGAGGTGCAAGAAGCCGTGAACGGGTATGGGTGGGTCCTTACAACAAAGTCAAGAACTACTAGGAGCAAGGACGCTACGAACGGGGCTCCTGGCCTTAGTACTACCAAAAAAGAAGAACCCACCAATTCCATTTAGTGTGATATGAAGCTGCTGCACTTGCGACGGGTTATGTTAAATCATATCTCATTTCTCGAACACAGAACCTTTAACACCTGGGCTTGAAGGACAGCAAAGACACAAGCCCTGTGGCAAACCATCCTTAAACAGGACACGTGCAAGTTTGCTTTCACCAAAAGAACAGCTGATTCTCCACGGACGGAGCGACCGCGACCGCTGTCGGGTTCAGACGAACCGACCCGTGCGGATGAGCTTCACGTGACACCCAAACGGACCAACTCGTCCGTGCGGACCGCCGTCTCCCGATCTGCGAACCACGGTCCCGGTGCGTCCGGAATAAGCCCCGGTGGCTTTCGGCAGGTGCGAAGAAACGAAAGAAGCCACCAGAAGTCCAAGTCATTACAGATTCTCCGGTGAAGTCAGACGGCGATGTGGTGGAGGTGGTGGATTTGGAGGTGTCTCCCGTGGCGTCTGAGATCTCTTCTGCAATTCCTTTGCAAGATGGAGATGAACCAGCTCCTTTGGTGGATGTCCCAGCAGCTTCTCCAGCTGCACTGCAAGACCTTGAAGGTAGAGATGAGTTCATGCGCGAGGTCGATGAGGATGGCCTGCCATCAGGATGGATGTGAAAACAAATGACAGTTCAGGGAGTTGGATGTTTGCTGTGACTTCGTCGGGCCCCCGGGGTTAGGCCATGGGCTTTGGAGTGGCGTGTGGTCCGAACACCTAAAGGGCATGTTCTTGACAGCTTTCGGAGGCGTTGACGATCAGGGACGAGAAGTGGGACGATCTAATGTCGATCGATCATGAAGCTGAATATGTTTGGTTCACGTCCAAGGTTGTTTCTTTGTTTTTTGTTAGCCTTGCATGGCTCCTTTCGGTTTATTTCTGACGGAAGCTATAAAATTATGGCACTATGGAAGTCCAAGGGTCACAATTTGTGATTTGTACTATGGATTTCGAATGCCAATAGCACCAAGTTCTCCTCGTGATCACCTGCCTAACGGCAACATAGTGGTCACGAGCTCATTGAGGATTGTTATTGTCAATTGACAAGTCAGTATGTGTATACATATATATATATATTATATATATATAAATGTATAAACCATGTTCTCAGGTGTCTTACTTGTGGCATGAGAAAATGGTTGAAAAAATCATTTATGTAATTATACAATATAAATATACATGACCTTAGCATGTTTGCCAAAGGATCGCGACGACTTCGTCGCGCGTGCATCAGTTTGCGGCCCGGAATCCGTGCATCCGTCCCCTGCGCAACGAAAACCACTCGACCGTCAGCGAAAAAAGCAGGGAACCTCTAGAACTCCACCTATTCTTGCTCCTAGTAGCGATGCCAGGAGCCCCTAGTAGCGTCCTTGCTCCTAGTAGCGATGCCCTTTGTTACTAGTAGCTTCTTGTTACTAGTAGTAAGGCCAGGAGCCCCTAGTAGCTGCTTGTTACTAATTCTTTTCAACGTCTTCGTTGTGCACCGTGGATCACCGTTCCACCCGGACACACGTGGGGGGTTCACCCAGACTGGCCAGTCCCGCGAGGAGTGCCACGTGGGAACCTACCAGATGGGCCAGGTGCTCCGGAAGCGCCTCTGCCTGAGCCCTCTGACGAGTCACCAGTTTGCCGCTCCAAAGCCCGAAAGTCCAGGAGAGCCAAGAGGAGCAAAAAGGGCCAGACCTAAGGACCTAAGGACAGGACGCAGGACGCAGGACGCAGGACGTGACACGTGCCGCAAAACCGGTGAGTTACTGGAGGCAGATGGGACCTGTTCATCCAGGCCCCTCTGGGCTGGATACACTGAAGGAATCAGGAAGAGGGATGGCACCACCTGTGGTATTCGGAAAATGGTCCATCCACAGGGCCATGCCATCCACTTCCATGAAGTCCTTTTCCGGGGAGTGTAACCAAACGGAATGAAGTGTGGATGGTTCGTTGGCTCAAGTAGGAATGTCCACTGACTATCACTGACGATCATTTCATCGAGAATTTTGTGGAGCGCAAGTCATGCCAGGTAGTTGACCCACAACATGATTGGCCGCAGGATGTAAATAAGCGAGCCTTGCTTGAATGCATTTACGAAGCTTAACTCAGCAACCAGCCGAAATGATCTGTTTCAGAGGTGCCAATCCAAAAATTTTTCCCGTTCAATATCGTCTAGTGACAACAACCAGACCTTTTCTCACTTTCCGCAACCTTTGACTATATGACATAATATCATATGACATTCTCATATCAGGTTGGAGGCCATCGCCACTCGGTTTCGATGAGAAGCCTTTCGGGAATTAGTACGACCCAGAGACGGCTTCGCAGCGCCATGGCGGAGCCGGCACAGCCACCACCAAGCACCTTTGGAAAGCCCATCGATGACGGGACAACGGAGTCTCCAGAGGTGGAAGAACCTGCGAGTTCAAAGTATCAGTTGAATTCCTTCGAGGATCCTTGGAGAGACCACAGGGTGTTTCTCTGTTTTTTCTTCATGTTTGGTCCATCAGACTGTGTATGGGTCTTGTTTTTTTGTTATGGGGGTGTTCATGATGACAAAAGCCAGGACTTCCGTCAGTACTGCATCGACGCAAATGTGGCTTTGGTGAGGCCCAAGTTTTTAGAAGAACTCTGCCGGGCCGGCGGAGTCTGGCCCCGACGGCAGGAAGCTGAGAAGATGGAAGGAGCTGCACGGGTTGTGCCTCTGTGGGTTGAACTAACTGAGTCTTCCGGTGAGGGGAAGGTTGACATATGATTATTATAAATACGGTCAACGACATGGCTAGAAAGAGTGGTAGTTGGTGGTTTTGCCAGATGTAGAATCAGTGTGTAAATCGTCAAAGGTCTTCCAGTTCTTCTTGAGCTCTTGGATGGATTTGGAAATTCACTGATTTCCCAGTCATCAGCATGGAACAGGTTTCATTCACATTTTAAGGGGCCAAGTCAATTGTTTTTGCTGTTTTGGGGTTACTCAGGTTACTCAAAACAACAGATGTGTGTGATTTTGAAGAAAGGCCCAGGTGACTTCTTCGCTTGGAGAGTTCATGGACGATGAGACTTGTTGCCAGGAGCCTTGTACAAACCAGGGCCTGATGACCAGTTCTCATTCATTGGGATCTCGCATTGCTGGGAGGCCCGCGAACATCCTGATCCCTTTGGATTCCAGCCGCTCGAGCTTGAGCCGAAAAGACGTTAAAGCCCACCAAACTCAAATGTTTAAACATCTATCTATACTTTAAGTTTCAACTAGAAAAAGGAAGTGTTCAAACTGTCCATTGGTATTGGAAAAATCCATAATGTCCATGATGAACTTCCATGATTGGTACTGAAAAATAGGTGCGAAAGTGGATGATGGAACTGAGCCTATGTGGCCACCATAGCCCTCAGTGTTTGGTTCGCCTTCGTCGGCCTCGGCCGGACCGGCCGGACGAGGTTGAGAACCATTGTTGATGCCTTGCACTACTGGAAAGCTGCCAATCCTGAGAAGTATGAAGATGGTGACACGTATTTCTTCATCGACTATATGTCCCTGCCGCAATTCCTGAGGAATGCGGAGGAGGAAAAAGACTTTCAATTGGCCATGCAACACATGCACTTTTTCTATGCCACTTGGAAACGCTTGGAAAGCACACTGCATTTAGTCACATTCTTGGATTTCCGAACACACCGGCCTTTGGTCCTTTTGTACGCCTGCCACTCCGTGGTGGAGTGACTAAGGCCAACAGTGGTGCCGACTTTTGCAAGAGCGTTTGGCGCTTGGAGCGGCTCACACCTCGAAGCTTGAAGAGATGGCATCCCAGCGCTTGACATGCCACAACGGGCGGCGTGAAAGGTCCACAGTTTTTGTATTATAAACAAGGCTTTAAGGAACCTAATAGCAATGGCCTCCAACCTAGTCGCGATGGCCTCCAACCTAGTATGCAATGGCCTCCAACCTACTACGGATGGCCTCGATGGCCGACCTAGTAGGGATGGTCTCCGACCTAGTAGCCATGGTCTCCAACCTAGTAAGTGATGGCCTCCAACCTACTACGGATGGCCTCAGTATCGATGGCCGACCTAGTAGCGATGGCCTCCCACCGAGTAGCCATGGCCTCCAACCTAGTAAGCGATGGCCTCCAACCTACTAGCGATGGCCTCCAACCTATTAGCAATGGCCTCCAACCTAATAGCGATGGCCTCCAACCTAGTAAGCAATGGCCCCCAACCTAATAGCAACGGCCTCCAACCTAATAGCAATAGCCTTCAACCTGGCAGCAATGGCCTCCGACCTAGTAGCTTAAATGTGTATATGCTGTTTCACCAACATAGGAATTCAAGGATTTGACACCAGAAATCATGCTGAAGCTGTTTGGGGTCTATGCTTGTAGATGTTTGATTTGTTATCCATGGACATTGAATTACATTTATATATATATATATTTATATATATATATATTTATATTTATATATATATATATCGATGTAGTATAATATATATAGAGTTTGTATCGCATTGTTATGACATTGGTTGCCTTATTTCAAGATTGACACCGAAACTCAAGTTCTTGCTATTTGGGCCCACCAAGGCAGCTCTGGCAAGGAAGAAGTATAGCTGTTTACAGCCTTGCCGAAGGCAGAGTGGCAGAGGTACCTTTGAAGCGATTGAAGTCCATGGTGAATGGCAAGTGCTGCAGCACTTGCGATGACAAATGTTGCAATCTCCATATCAATGATGTGATGTACCTGTGCCGTGGCTGGTGCCGAGCTGAGTTTGAATGGGCTAAACCCAACACTGTAGATATCTCTCGCCAAGCCACGTTTCTTCGCTGCTGCTGGGCGACTTATGATGCGGAGTTTATCCGCTTGTCCCTGCCCTGGACGCCTGAGGCGTTCCAGCAGCAACTCGCTAGCGAGCAGTTGAAATTCACACATCGAAGTGACATGGGACCAGTGGTGAAGCTGCAAGAGCTTGTATTTCATCAAAAAGTCGCCACCATGGAAGAATTCCAATGTAACTGGTTGAGATTGTCAGAGGTCGAAGACTTGGTGAAGCTTTTGCCACGTTTGCAGGCCGTAGAGACGTTTGCTCTCATGGCCGCCTACCTGTCGAGTCAACAACAGGTGCCCTTGGCAAAGGCCTTAGCTTTTCACCCCACGCTGCGCAAGGTCGAGATCGCACACGTGCAACTGACGATTCCAGCAGTGGAACTGTTAGTCTCGGCTCCTCGCTTACATCGCTTAGAGATGCTACGACTGGATGCTTGTGGCCTAGGTGATGCAGGTGCCAAGGTCGTCGCGGATGCTTTCGTCATTCACCCAGCGCTCACAGAACTGCACCTGGCCTTCAATGGCATTGGCAGCGCTGGGGCGGTGGCTTTAGCCCATGCGCTTCCGGCCATTCGCTGCTTGGAAGAACTGAATGTGCGCTGGAATCGCATCCACTCGCTGGGTGCCGTGGCCTTGGCCAATGCGGCGAACACGCTGAAACGCCTGGATATCCGAGACAACCCCATTGGTGCTAAGGGCGCAAGAGCCTTGAGATGCAGATCCATCGATGTGGAAAGCGAAGTGCTTCATTTCAATGTAGACACATCCTGGCTGGGCTTCTTCCGTTGCATTCTGTGGCAACTCTTCATGCGACTCTTCCTCAGCATGGTGGTGCTTCCCATGACATGCTTCAGGTGGCGGCAAAGGATGTTCCATGTCATGACGGCCAAAGACGGTTCCCGAGTTCGGCCCGCAGAGCCTTCGGAGAGTTCCGAGGAGGTCATCCAGAGTGGTGAGGCCAATGCGGCACACCGCTGTCAAAGTGACAATGCCAGTGTGGCAACCATTGACTGAAGAAAATGGGTCCCACATCGAACGAAAGTCCAGGTTTCAATAGGTTTCATCGCAATTCATATCACTTCCTCACTGATAGCCACGTGAGCCGCAGCCCATGAGAAAAAATTGTGTGAAGGCAGTGCGAGTGTGTTTCCATTCGGGATCATTCAAGGGGATCATGGTGTTGTTTCTGTCAAACATGTTGATCTTCTTTCAGGCGAAACCTGTTTTGAGCTGGTGATGTTGTGGAAGAAGCAGCCTGGGCGGACGACTATGGCAGCTTGGTGCTTAGAACCACTGGAAATGAACAGGAAGCACAAAACACAAAGACTACAAAAGCATCCGAACGCAAGAAAAACAACTAAAAAGAAGACAATCATAAAGAAACACAGAGCACATCAGGGCAAAGTTTCAGCTGAAGGTTTTTGGCACACCTGGACGGAAGCACGGTCTGTTCTGACGTCAAGTTGCATGTGTATGTGTGTGGACCAAGAGCCAAACGGCTCTCTTTCAGAGCTTGAGACACCATGGCCGATGGACCAATGCTCTCGAGAAGATTTGCAGACCTGCCCAAAGCTTCCAGAAATGAGAACACAATAGAAAATGGAACAAAAGCAATGCGTAAATAAATAGAAAGATGAAATATGTAGAAAGAGCTATTATAAAACCATTAGTGTCTTTAGTAGTGGACCAGAGGGGTCTTCCCCCTGCTCTCCCGGCTTTCGTGTTTTGCCAAATTCGTTTGAAGAAACGGCTCAGGTCGAGGAGCTTCTCACAAGTCCAAAGTACAAATCCAGAACCAGAGCTTCTCACTTGTGATGTGGGTGTGTATTGGGGGTACCTCCAATCAATGGTTTTTGGTCGTGGTTTTGGTGTATTTCCCTTCTTTCATGGGGTCGTTGGGAGGTCTCCCTATTTTAATACGCTTCCATGTGCTCATATGCGCTCAATTCGAAGCAAGGATGTGAAAGCTCAAGTCCACGGGTTCGTTTCAGCCTACGAAATGTGCCTTTTCCTTTCAGGTCTGGTGTTTGGCACGGCTCCTCAGCATCACAAGAAGCGGAAATCACATTGACATGGTCGTTGCCTGAACAATCACGCCGATGTTGTTCACCAATTTTCATCTTCATTCAATTTGTTTGTATCTTGTGTGTATCTTTCACTTGTGCGAGACTTAGGAACTTTTGCCTTGCTCAAGTTTCCACTACATTAGCCAGCTGCTAGTAATTAGGTGGATGTGCCGAAGACAAACATCGAGTAGTTCAGATGGGATTCACGTTCACATTTATGACTTATGCAGACCTAGTTTGAACAACTACACAGCCATGGCGGCCAACTGAATCGGAAGGATGTGTGTGGATTCCCGCGATGGGAGACAACTTTTGTTGGAATTTTTGCAGAGGCACGTAGCGAGACGTTTGTACAACTTGGCCACACGTGCTGGTGACACGCCGGCAGCAGTTGACAATGAAGCATGTGCCTGAGGTTCACGAACAGGGTGAAGAGTGGATACCCTTTCATACGCAGGTTGAGGAGGTTTGCAAAGCTTTAGACGTTGAGAGACACCAATCTGCAGACCAAATACTTGTTAAACATATTGTTGAGCAAGGTCCAAAGCGCCCAAAGCGAGGCGCCCACAAAATGATGAATGTGTGGTTCCCGCCAAGGAAGAAGTGGAAAGGCCAAGAAAGAGTCCCAAGGCCGCCTTTGACCAGCCCGTCCAGTGTTCTGCATCTGTTCGGCAGAAAATCATGCAAGATCAAACGTTGAGACAGATGGAACCATTCGTGGAGGGCGAAGATGGCGAGGAGGCTGAAGATTCTGAGGTGAACCCACTAGTCACTAGTGAGGCCACTGGCCAGTGATACACTTGGTCCGGTTCCTCCGACTGCAATCAGCCCACGACGCATGGCATTTGCGAGAAGTGCAGGAAACCGTGTTTACCTGGCTTGGCATCCCTCTTTTGCGCAGCTCAGTGCGAGAAGAGACGTTCCCTGACGTCCTGAACAAGCTTTTAAGCATGCTTTCGACACGATCCCAATAGGACAGATAGAGAACAGTGAATTCAACCAAATATTGAAACTCTGGCCGGTTATTGTAGCTTTAGCCTTAAGGGTGAGCGACCCATGGATAGTGTCCAGTGGCTTGCAAGGGGAGATGATGAAAAGCCCATTCCCACTCGAGAGGCGGAAGACCGCGAAAGCTGCGTCTCCGCGCTGCTCGGCCTGGTGCCAGCAGCTTGCCTGGCGGAATCAGACTACCTGTTAGTCGCGAGGTTGTTGCTGAGTGTCCACAACGACCTGCAGCTCTTTAGTCTAGTGCAGCTGCCATTCTGTGCTCATGACGCCACGGCACTCAGACGCTATACACACAGGAGATGCCTCAATGTACAGGAGCACAAGTACCACATCCTCAGGACCTTTGGGAATCGACCAAGAGCTTTTTGAGCATCTCGCTTCAAGCTCACGGTCGAGCAGGAGAAGTGGATGCAATGGTAGCTCAGTTGCGCCAGCAGTCGGAAGGAATCGTAGACATTGCTCCAGAGTTGTGGAAGATTCTTTTCTCAGGGAATACTCCATAAGCTCGTTGGGGAGGCTTGTGCAGGTTGCTCGAACGGTGTGAGAACCTTGAGGCCAATGTCCACGAGTCAGTTCTAGCAGCTTTGCTTGCAGGGTATCCGAAGCAGTTCAATTTGAACGACGGAGTGACCTTGTCTTTTTCGCCAAAAGAAGTTCCTGCCCTGCAGACTGCCCTGCAGTTCTTATTGCTGCTGAAGGAAGAGCCCTCAGAAAGCGAACTCGCGTTTTCTCTTGCTCATCTGCGGAAAAGGGCCGTGGGCCGACACTTGAGAAAGATCAATCCGCAGTTCCTTGGCAAAGAAGAACTGCCCAACATGCGTCGATTTGGAGCCCTTGTGATCGACTTCATTGCCTGGTGGAAATACCTTCAGGAGCACTAAATTCATGCAAAAACTCCTTCCAAAACCATGGGAGAACACTTACAAAACACCACGGCTTCGAAAGCCTCTTCCGCATTCCCAGGTTGAGTACCTCCGAGCATACTTGCTCAAGATTGAGTGGCCAGACATGTACACGATGCAGAGACTACAGCGACGCGTGTCCCTCCTTACCAAGGCTTCCTTTCATGACTGGAGAAAAACCGAACTTCCACAGCTTAAGAGAACCACAAAAGCTTCGCCTCAGGTGCGTCGCCGCGTCCATCGGTGCCTGTGCACCCCGTGGCAAGCGACCTCACGCCACTGGGCCCTGCTTGAGCTGCACAACCTTCTGCCAGTGACCCTGCTGGTTACAACGAAGCTGGTGGCAAAGCTGGTGCTGAAGCTGATGAGAATGCAGGCGTGAGCCAGACTAGAGAGAATGATGCCTTTGTGAGCAAGTTTAGCCACTGCGACTGGAGTGACAGCTCCACATAGTGGCTCTACTGCTAGCCACACATCCGAAAGGCTCAGCAAGCCTCGCAAAGCGAGGGGCGATCAAGTTCGAGATGGCAAAGCGAAGGGGCAGCTCGAAAAAGATGGTGCCGAGCATCGCCGAGCCACTTGATGTTCACTTTGTATGGCAAACATCTCTGCACTTAATAAGGAGTTGCACCTTTTATTCAAAGCTTGACAACTTGCACAGGTTGGAAGACCCTGAAGATCCCTGAAGACGTCAGCCAGCACAGCCAGATGCTCGTGTCAGTCGCTAATTTGTGGGCTTTGCATGTTCAAATGGTCCAAAATGATTCCTCTTAGCTGTAGCTTTCAATTTCACCTGGAAAACGTCCCCCGACAGCCCAAGGTCTAAACAAGAGTTGGTCGCCTTCTTGCACAAGGCCTGCAAATGCACAAGGCCTGCGCTCCAAGTTTGGTCAGAGCGTGTTTGGAGATTGTGGTGAATGTTTTGAATGGGTGTGGCCGCCGTGGCCCCAGGTCCTCGCTGCAATGCATTCGGGGTCTTTTCCACCTGGGACCTGAGGTGGGAACCGGTTTGAACTTGGAGAAGTTTCAAAAGCTTTGAGGGAAGATCTACAGGAAACTGTACCATCTCCTTGTTACTATAAGAATGCTCCGTTCGTAGCGATGCCAGCCGCTTACAGACGTATATAGCTTCTTTTATAGCCGATTTCAGTCCTTCAAGCGCCGGGAAGTAAATCGGCGATCGATCCACGACTGACTCGTTCCACTCGTCGAGGGTTCGAGGAACCGCGTTGGTCGGTTCCCCGAGCGTCGTTCGGACGGCTGATCCCAGCTGCCGGTCCGTGGCATGAGGACCAGGTACGTGGTAAGAAGAGTGGCAGAGAACCGTAGGATGGTCTCTCAACTTGGACGCACCCGATTTCGGCTCCGAGAAGAGGCAAAATGATTAGCAGTCATGATTAGCACCTGAAGAGACCTTAGAAGAAGCGATTAGCTGGAGGCCATCGCTATTATGGAGGCCATTACTAGTCAGGCTAGTAGTAGCTCCTGGCCTTTTTTACGAACAAGAAGCTACTAGCAAAGGCCAAGCACTTCCATGTGCTTAGCTTTGTCCACAACCTCAGGGGCGACCGCCTCCATCGGCGACCACGCTGACTCCGGCCTGCCGAGAGCGAAGTGAGAGCGAAGACAGTGAGAGCGACTCCCCGGGTTGGTTGGTTCATGTTTCCAAAGCCTTGCAGAGGGACACTTCAGTGACACAATTCTTGATCAGATTGTTGAAGGTGACGAAGGTTGTTGGAGAACTTCGAAGACCAAGGATCATCCGTGAGAACCCTCATGGATTGCCTGCGACAATGCAAAGAAAAGGCGCTGGCAGCGGCCCAAAAAGGGTCCATCAGAGGTGGATACGTAGCTTGCCCACCAAACAAAAAAGACATCAGAAACTACCTGGAAACTCGTATGATTTTTTTTTGATCACTATGGCCTCAAGCCGTATTGACCGTTTTTGAATATGGCCGTATACTGGCCATATTTGCATGCATATTTGGGGGTGCCCGTATGATACTAGTATGTGTTCAATATGTTACTGAAGAAACACGGTAACCATATTCCAACATACTAGTGCGAATACTGCGTTGGAACACCCGAATATGGTACCCTATTGAGCCAAGAGAGGAAACGGGCAAACCCCGTAATGACCAAAAAAAATGGTCAAATGCCGTATGACAAAAATTGAACATACTGTTTCTCAGGTATATACTATGTGTGTTTTTTCATTGTGTTTTTTTTTCCGAAGAAGTCCGAATGATACCATGTTAGGAGTTGTGAGTTGGTCTGTCATAGTACTTCATAGTACTTGTTGCTCAATGCTTCTTGGATCAATGCTTGTTGGTCTATCATAGTACTTGTTGCTCAATGATACCCAGTTTTTGCCCGAGCTTCTTGGATCTCCACACCGCTTGAGTGACCGCTTTAGGCTCCAGTGACGTCCGCGACCGCTCGTCGTTTGTCGCGGGTTCTTCGGAACTCCAGGCAGGGCACCGGGTGGAACTCACATGACCCGTTTGCTCCGTTCGTAGCGATGCCAGGAGCCCCTACTAGCGTCCTTTGCTCCTAGTAGTAAGGCCAGGAGCTACTAGTAGCTTCTTGTTATTACTAGTAGTAAGGTGCCTTGTTCCTCCCACCCCTGCAGGAGCCATGTTCTCCCGGCTCGCCACGGCCAGCCGCAGCGCCGCGCGCCGCGCCGCGCAACGTGTGGGCGCATCGCGGTCAGTGACGAGCTCTACGAGCCTTGGCACAGGAAAAGAAGAAGAACACCGACGCGAGATGGACGTGGAATCCCAAAATCTCAGGTGACGTCCAAAGCAGGAAGAGTCAGTGTCACCAAAGTTTTTTGAATATGTCTTCCAGCACAGCAAAAGTGGTTTGAAGACCACGACTAGAAATCGATCAAGCACAAGCGAACCTTCCAACAGTGAGTCAGTGAGTGAGATATCTTGATAAGCAAGCATTGACAGGACTGTAGGCTTAGAACCATTTACCTGCAGGAACGTGACATTCAGGGTTGGAGTGGGAATCAAAGATTCAAGCTACTAGTAGTGACTTGACCCGGGCTGCCTTTATTGGCCGGGAAGAGTGGCTCCATCAAACAACCTAGAAGCGATGGCCTCCGCCTTAGTAGCAATGGCCACCAACCTAGAAGCGATTGCTCCGATCCGCAAGGTATTCATTTCACACATGTCACACTCTTGGATGCTTTTTGGTTGTCATTCTCTTGTTCCATCTCCTTCCCTCAAGTGACCGTGAACGCGCAGGGCCCCACCTCTTGGACTCTGTCTTTTGAACAAAAACACCTCGGGGCGACGCTCCATGACTGAATGTCATGGCCCGAATCTGGCCCTTTGGGGTTGATGGATGGCCTGGCCATGCTCCTTTGCGTTGCAGCGGATCATTCTCTATGGCCATGGAAGTGTACGCCAATGTTGGGAATGACTCGAATTGACCGGTATGATGGCTTCCTTTGCGCTGCGGTTGGCAATGGAGGCCTCCAACCTAAGAGCTTAGTAGCGTCCACCCTAGTAGCGTCGTTGCTACCAGTAGCTATATGTGCTCCTAGTAGCGATGCCAGGAGCCCCTAGTTACGTCCTTGTTCCTTGCCCCCCCCCCACGCGCGCGCGCGCAAAAAGGTCCTAGTAGATTTCTTTGCTAGTAATTACAAATGCATCGCTAGTAGTAACAAGTGCCTTACTGGTAGTAATAAGAAGCTAGTCATTACAATTCTAATTTAATTCTTGTTACTACTAGTAAGGCACTTGTTCCTAGTAGCGATGCACTTGCTCCTAGTTGCGTCCTTGTTACTCCCTCCTCGCGGAAGCCTCGCGCACCGTGGCCCGTCTGAGGATCGGCGGCTACGAGGTCTTCGACCACTCCTACGATGCGGTGGTCATCGGCGCCGGTGGCGCAGGCGGGCGCGGAGCCGGTAGAGCGGGCGGGTGGACGAAGGAGGATGTATATATTTGTTTTCAGGGATATTTGGAGTTAATCTGGAGTGTGCCAATGGAAGATCCACTGCTTGACAAGTTTCACATACATTTCTGGAGGTTGCATTTGTTTTTGGTGTTGTTTTTTGGTTGTGTTGAAAAGAAATATTGGAGGTGCATGCAAAAAAGATTAAACATGGTGATCTTGACTTTGATTATCTTGGGCTAAGAACGCGTGGATTTTCTGGTGCCGAAATGCCAGTGAAGCCCCCGAAAGGAAGACTGAATTCCTCTATGCAAAGTGCCATCCACTTCGATTGTTTCAGGGAGGGTCTCTGATCGTTGAGACCCCTCGAGCCGTCAGCCAGGCTTGCGAGCCGCGGCCGGGCTGGTGAACCACGGGTTAAAGACGGCGTGCATCACCAAGGCGCGAGCGGAGCGGCGAGCCGGACGGGCCGCGGGAGCCTCGGCGGGTCCGGTGGCATTGGCTGCCAAAGAAGATCCCAGAGATGTCAAGATATGTTCGAGGGTTGGACTCTTTCATGGCTTTGAATCCAATCAGAGAGGATTTGGAGTTACATTGGGCGACGTTTTCTGGAACGGGCGTTTCCGTTTTTCTTTTCGATAAGGGAATTCTTTGGAATACCTCTTGCTTTGAGCAGCAAGTTTGCTTGGTTTGCTCTGTCTCAGGTGTGGGTAGCTCACTGTCTCAGGTGTTCACAGGAAGCGTTGGCATTTGCTACATCTACATATCACCCCAACTGGTCGGATGTGATGCGAGCAAGCTTCGAGGTCGCTTCTGGCAGCGTCAGTCGCCCCGCGACCCGTTTGCGCGTCAGTCGGTCCGCGGGTCGGTCGCCGGAGGTGTTTCCCACGCGATCTCACACCGTGGCAGCACAAGGCCAGGCACGGAAGAGCGGAGATCAGCGGAGAATTGGGTGCCGATTGGAAGAGGAAGAGGATCAGAGCAAGGCTTCCAAGGCCCAAAGCACATGGCAGGGCTCTCCGTGTTTGTGTTTGATAGCACGGCTGTCCAGGTGGCATTAATGGAGCATTAGCCAACATGACTGAGGACTGGACTGGGTTACTGGGTGGCGAAAATCACAGCAGGTGGAAGAGGCATTTGGCCTCGCCATGCGAAGACCATAGGAGTCAACGATGGTCAACAGTTTGTTCGGAGTTGTTTTAGAAGTGTCACCTCCCATGAACTGTTGAAATGCTGAGTCACTGCCAGAGACAACATGTCACCTCATTGAGCCTTGAACATGTGGACAATGTTCAAATCAGTTTGTACGCAAGACGTCCAAAGACTATGCTTGGCACCAACCAAGGTACAGAAAAACGTTTCGGATCTACCAAGCAGATCGCCCAGTGGCCGGCAGGACGACTGGCGTTGGCATGCCTATGACACGGTGAAGGGTGCCGACTGGCTCGGAGATCAGGAAGATTCGCGCGCGCGTAGCTGGAAAGATGTTTCGGGGGGGAAGACCAGCACAACGCCGCGTGTCAAAACGAAACTAAGACCAAGACCAAGGACAGACTATTGATCTGCTGCACTTGTAGGAGGATAGTTACCTGGTAGCATTGAACTCCCGTCGTTTCCCGCGGTCAGCCATCCCGCTGGCCGCGTTTGACAGGACGCCATTCAGCACATGTGCCGCCTGGCACCAGAGGCGGAGTCAGCACGGCCGGGCGTCACGGCCTGTCGAGTGGTCGACTGATGCAGGTGATTCTGGAATTGGAGTCCTTCGGCTTGCCATTCTCCCGTACGCCGGAGGTGCCTTTTTTAAATCCGCGCGCAGGGCGGACTCCTGTGACAGATGGAGGACCAGATAGTTGGAAGAAGAAGGAGAAATACTTCGTATGTTTGTATCACATGTTCTTTCACTTGGCCACTATGAGGCCTCTTGAGGCTCCCGAAGGTCTCCGGCCGCTGTTTCGTCCCGGCTCGCAGGGGAAGATCTACCAGCGCGCCTTTGGTGGACAGAGCTTGAAGTTTGGCAAAGGCAGGGGTCCAAAAACGGCGTTTCTTTGCCGCGCTTGTCTAGGAGTCCTTGCTCCGTAGTAGCGTCCGATCGCTCCGTTCTTGGCGAGGCCACGAATTGGAAATGTTGCATTGCCAAAAGGTCAAAAAAGCAAGAGACCTATGGAGACTTGAAAGCAATTGAACTTGAGTGCCCTTCTGAGTGTGGTTTGGGGGTGATTTGCAATTCAAACCCGCCAAGAGAATGCAGCAAAAGCGCTATAGATCAGATAGATCCACCTCCAATGGCATCCTGCTCCGTTCGTAGCTTCCGATCGCTCCGTTCGATCGCGGTGCCAGGTGGCCAGGCCTATCGCTGCGCGGCGGCTGCGGACCGCACGGGCCACGCCATCCTGCACACCCTCTACGGCGCCTCGGTGTGGCGATCTGCGGCGATGGAAGGCTGCAAAAGGTGGCCTCCAACCAACAACCAACAATAACGATGGCGTCAAACCTAGAAGCTATGGCCTCCACCCTATAGTAGCAATGGCCTCCAAGCTACATAGCGATGGAGTTGGGCAGCTTGGAGGTTTGAAAGGAAATCCTCGGGGGGAAAACGGAGGGAATCCAGGGAGAAGGACCCGAAGGAAGGCTGAAAAAGCCATGTAACCTTGGCTCACACTGCAAAAGGTGGCAGTGTTGTTGATCCCTCACATCACCCAGACAGTCGAAGGGCTTTAGGGTTCATCTACTAAATCGGATGTTGCTTGGAGGTACTGTTCACCCGGATGGATGGCGGCAATGACCACCGGAAGATGACGACTGATGACCCCGCTAGTGAAACAACCACCGCATGGGACGCAGTATGCCGGGCGGTGATGGGGATAGTCGAATAACCCACCTATCTGCGATGGCCTTGCTCCTAATAGCATCCTTGCTCCTAGTAGTAAGGCCCGGAGCCCCTAGCAGCGTCCTTGCTCCTAGTAGCGATGCCAGGAGCACCCAGTGGCCCTAGTAGCTTCTTGTTCCTAGTAGTACAGCCAGGAGAACCCATCACCGCCCAACCTGCATGTTGAGGCATGGCCTTGAAGTTCGACTGCTTGTTCTTCGTGGAGTACTTCGCCATGGACCTGATCATGAGTACTTCGCCCTTCGTGGAAATACTGGATGTTGGGACGTTCAAGGAAGTTTGATCAAGGGGAAGATGTGCTTTTGGAATCCAGATTGTGTTTCAAGCCTAAGTGACATAGTATGTTGCTATCAGAGAGCTTGTCGGACCAAGACCGAACTTATTTTGCAGCTCTGCACTGAAGAAGCCATTTAAAATCATTCAAATATTGGTTCCAGATGATTTGTAACACTTTAATCAGATGGTTTGATTTGTCATCATCTATTGAGCCACGAAATCACTTGGAAAGCAGCCAGGAAATGAATCAACCTGAATAACTGCTGGTAGTAGATGTACACAACCCGAGGGCTCTACACGAACATGGTCTCGCAATGTCCATCAATGGCCTCCACCCTAGTAGCGATGGCCGCCACCCTCTCTCCTTTGCATAACAGGTGATGACGGCAAATGCTTGGGCTGCGTGGCCATGTACCTTGGGAACAAAGTCGACTCAAGCCGTCCTTCGTTCCGGGCGCTGGGCGGGCCTCTCGCTACTTCTCTATGCCTTTACTGGAACCAGCCATAGTTGTGTCAGCTTAAAGCTGGTGGCCAATTTCCGGGTGTTTGTGAGGAATTTTCACAGGCCCCATGGCGCACACGCGATGCCGAGGTGCATGGAGGATGGCAGCATCCACCGCTTCGGAGCCCACAGCACCATCATCGCCACCGGCGGCTTTGGCCGAGCCTATCAGTCCTGCACTTCTGCTCACACCTGCACAGGTGCGCAGACAGAGAGAGGGAGGAAGAGCATGGTCTTGGCGCACGTTTTTTTGTTTTCGCGCGGTTTTCTGGCCTTGTGGATGGTGCACGTATTGCATCTGTTGAGTAATTAGTCATTTCCCCCATTTGTCCATTGATCCACTCCAGTCCGTTTTAGCCATCCACTCTTCCGATCAGCGTCCAGCAGTGCGTCAACAGGCGATGGCAGCGCCATGGCCTCCCGCGCTGGGCTGCCGATGCAGGACTTGGAGTTTGTGCAGTTCCATCCCACAGGCCTAGCGGCGTGCAGCTGAAATTGGCAGCTAAGGACCCTGCTTATTTGGGTTCATTTGATGAGTGAATCAGGATGTGGTTTACATCTGAGAGGAGAACAGATGATGTTGACGACTTCACTTTTCAATGGATGTTGTGCATCGGTGGTGTGGATCATTATGGATGTCTACAGCGTAGCTTAACATGTTGTATGAAGACCTCCGCCCAAGAGAACCTCTTTGAATTCCATCCATCATCCACCCACTATTCTGGCGTACTGGGGTATACTCAATGGTACTCCGTTGGCACACTGCGCGAACCTTTAGTGCAGGTGTGTGAAGTTCTTTTGAGCATTTGGTAGATGAATCTTCCCAAAGCATCACTTCCCCACAAAGCATCTCCCCACCTACCATCACTTCGCAGCATCAGTGCCGGACCAGGCATCTTCCCTGCGGGCTGCCTCCTCACCGAGGGCTGCCGCGGTGAGGGCGGAATTCTCCGGAACAGCGAGGGCGAGCCTTTCATGGCGCGCTACGCACCCACCGCTAAGGCGACCTTTTGAGCTGCAAAGGTCCGGCTGTGTCAAAACCTCATGGAAGGTTGACATCCTGTAGAGACATCAAAGTGCCACGCTAGTAGTAACAAGTGCCTTACTAGTAGTAACAAGAAGCTATTAGAAACAAGTGCATCGCTACTAGTAGCAAGTGCCTTTGTGCATTTCCGGTGGTGCACCCGAATCCTGGCAAATGACCCGCTGCCGAATGGCACAGTGGCACGGGTTGCTTCGGATGTTGTAAACTAAACTGGGGGCTCGCTTTGGCAGTCAAGTCAAGCGCTATTTGGAAAGATCCACCTACAAGAAGCCGACCATTCTGAGAAGATCCAAATTCGAAACACCGTGGGAATACCAGGTTTGAATCCTTCAGCAATGAGTTCATCATATTTCATCCTCCCCGGATCCTCCGAGGACTTGTTACACCACCTTCGCATGGCCTCCAACCTACTAGCGTCCTTTGCTCCGTTCGTAGTAAGGCCAGGAGCGCTCCTGGAGTAGCGATGCCCTTGGCCCCTCCTAGTAGCGTCCTTTGCACACACGCTGTCGTCCTGCATCGACGCCAAAGAGGACTTGGCATCGCGCGACGTGGTGAGCCGCGCCATGACCTTGGAGATCCGCGAGGGCCGCGGCGTGGGCCCCAACAAGGTGCGATGTGACATCCCACAGCATGGGTCGAAATCTTGTGAACAACAGTGTATGAGGGTGGTTCTTCTTTTCGTTGGGGGAAGGGCACGAGTTTTGAAGGATTAATCAAGTCTTTCAGCAAATTCAAAGGATACAGTCATGAGAGGTCTTGTGACACCTATCCGGACCAGTCTCAGTACCCAGCTGTCTCTCTCTCTTCTCACGCGTCCTTCTCTCTCACTTCTTCACCATCGGACCGGATGGCGACCTCCCCCCTTCGTTCCTCCTCCTGCTTCTGCTTCGCTCCGCTCCCTCCGCTCGGCAGGACCACATCTTTTTGCACCTGGATCACCTTCCTCCTGAGACCTTGGCAGAGCGTTTGCCCGGCATCTCTGAGACGGCCAAGATCTTCGCCGGCGTCGACGTCACTAAGGACCGACCGGTTTTCACGAGACGCTTCGAGATCCGGTGGTCCAAGGGGCATGAAGCACCTGTGATAGCTATGAAGCACCTGGGAAGAGCCGCTTTTCCTGGAAAGAACGGGCAAGAATCTTTGCCGAAAGGATCTTCTATAGGTATTTCTAGGTTCTTTGGGGAAGAGTCCACTGTTGGTTAGTGAATGACTTCACATATCATTCACTTGTGAATTTTGGAGAGTGCTCAACGCTTCAGCTTCAGATGATGACGTTCTCACCACATGCTCGTCCGATGTGACAAGGAGCCTGCGCCCGTGCTGCCCACTGTGCACTACAACATGGGCGGTATCCCGACCAACTGGAAGACTCAGGCACCCTGGAGAGTTCTACAGAGATGTGCTTGGCTAGATGGGGACTGGACATGTGGATTGTGAGCGATGCCCTTTGCTTCTAGTAGCGTCCTTGCTCCTAGTAGTACGGCCAGGAGCCCCGTTCGTAGCGTCGTTGGTGCATGAAGCATGAAGGGATCACGGCTTTTGGGAGGTCGGTGCCATTTGGGGTCTTTCGGGGGTTGGTCTCCCTGTTCACACAACCATAGTACCCAAATCCCACAGCCTCTACCCCTACTAGCGATGGCTTCCAGCCACCAAATAGCAATGCCTCACTCCTGCCTGCTGACCTGCTGTTTGCTCATTCTCTATGTTCACAGGTCGTCCGCGATGCGGAGGACACCATTGTTCCCGGGCTCTTGGCCGCTGGAGAGGTTGCGAAGATGGATGTGTTTGCTTTGAGGTGTAGAATTGGAATACCAGTTGTAGCCACTAGAATCATCATGCTTTGAAGTAGGGGCCCAAAGTCTTTGCTAAAAAACACGTAAAACCCATACTCTTTCGCTGAACTCGACCAATTTCAAACCAATTGCATCACCCAAATCGCCGCTATTAGTAACAAGAGCATGGCTACTAGTAGCCCTGGCACTACTACTATAGTAGCATTCCAAGCTATTAGGTAGTAGCTCAAGTAGGCCATCGCGGACATTCCGGTTCCATCCCGCCATCCTTCCCAGGCGGGCTGCGCCTCAGTTCACGGTGCCAACCGCTTGGGCGCCAACAGCTTGTTGGACCTGGTGGTCTTCGGGCGCCAGGCCGCCGACACCACCGCCGAGCTGGTGAAGCCCAACAGCCGCTGAGCTGAGAGGGTAGGTCTCGGTGGAGGAGACGCTGTGGAGACGCGGTGGAGGAGACGCGGTTTGGTTTGGCTTTATGGCAAAGAAGCCATTGACGCTATTAGAAACAATAAAGCTATTAGGAACAAGTGCATCGCTTCTAGTAACAAGTGCCTTACTAGTAGTAACAAGAAGCTATTAGAAACGATAAAGCTATTGATGCTTTTTGGGGGGTAGCGAAGCAAGATGTGGCAGTCTTTGCGATCCCACGGTTCCCAAAGACTGCACCGAAGACAGGGTCATCCCGTTTTTCCTGCGCTTCGAGCGCTGAGGCCCTCCGGTGACTTTGCCCAAGAACGTGCCTTGGGCCGCAACGCCCGGAGCTGGCAGCCGTGGGATTGAGCTACGAATGTGGGAGATCGACTGAGTGTTTGCGCGGAAGTTGAGTGCTTCCGGTTTTGGAATTGATAATTATTTATCTTATGTATTTATCCTTTCTTTCGTACTTTCCTCTATCTAAGATGTATTATGTTTGAAGAGAATGAGGCATTGGGACTGGGATAGGTCTTTGAAGAGGACCAGCCGAGCCCGCCCCGCTTTTGGAGGCCGGAGAGGCCAGCATCGCACGCATGGACAAGATCCGCAACGCCAAGGAACCAGGGACCGGGGGCGGGCCGTTGCCAAAGTCCACCCTGTTCGACCATAAGAAGAGACTTCCGAGAGGGCGAGAGGGGCCGTGAGAAAAAAAAGACAAATCGCTGGAGAACGGCTGCGGCAGTTCTTGGTCTGTTCGAGTCATTTCAGTGTGCATGCGTTTTCATCCCCTCCATCCGTCCGTCTTTGTTATTTTTGAAAAAGGGCTCGGTGACCAGTGATGTCTTGAGGGAGAAATCGAAGAACCCTTCGCCGGATGGCGTTTGGGAGTGCCAAACTGGTTTCGCATCGCTTGGTCGTTTGGCGATTGGATTGGTTCTTCGGTGCCGGGGGGGGGTCCAATGGGTACATCAACGAACATGGAGTTTGACCTCCAAACAGCTCACCAATTGATTGCTTGGGGGGCTTGGAACAAGGACGCTACTAGCTCCTGGCCTCGCTACTAGGAGCGATCGGACGCTACTAGATGGCTCTTCCCCCCAGATCTTCTTTTCAGCGCCGGACCGGACGAAGCCGCAGGGCCCCATCCCCACCGCCGACTTGCGCCGTGAGCTGCAGGCGAAAGGGACGGGACGGGGGTGACTGGGGACCTTCCGAAGCCCTGCAGTGGCCGGACCTCTCCAGGGGATCGGTGAAGAAGAAAAAGTGAAGTGAGTGAAGTGCTGAGGCCATCGCTCTTAAGTTGGAGGCCATTGCGTTGGGAGACCCATCCAGTTTGCGCCCGAATTGATAAACTGATGGGCATGTGATATGCGGTGTGAACAGATGGTGGTTCTTGCAAGTGCACCCTATCTAGATCCATGTCTGAGGTGAGAATTGAGAAGTGAAACCGGAAGAGTCGCTGCTTTGCTTGGAGATGACCATCAGGTGACCCATGAATCAAATGTGGAACCGTGAAAACCAACCGTACTATTGCAGGTCAAGCAAGGTCCACCAGGTCGAGAAAAATGTGCGAAAACTGCAGGTGACCATGCAGAAGTATGCCCCTGTGTACCGTACCTTGGCGCGCAGGCAGTCGACGAGCCCGGGCGTGAAAAAAAGCACTCCGTACTAAAGCACTCATACCATGCGTTGTGATGGAGGTGATTGACCTTGAAAGACCTTAAGTCAACAAGGGATCTTGGAGTGATTGAACCATGTCCTCCAACTAGTAGGGTGGAGGCCATCGCTACTAGGTTGGAGGCAAGTGGAGGCCATTGCTATAGTAGGGTGGAGTGATTGAGCCATATCCTCCAACTAGAGTCACTGATCGAGGTCATTTGAGGTTTTTTAAGGACCACCGCCATTTGCTGGGCGAGTGACTGGAGTCGTCTTCCACGCTTTGGGGGGTGCTCGAGGTCTGAAGTGTTCCAATGGTTTGTTGCGAAAAGAACTCCACATGACCAGGGGCAACAAACATACAATTTAAATGTGCTGTTATGAAAATTTCTTTATGTTTTCATTTGCTGGGTGTCCCCAGCACAAGGTAACCTCACACAAAAAGCGGTTGGTTTCTTCAGCACAGGTCACCTCGACATTGTTCAACGATCGTTTGGTCACTCGTATGATCTTTATGATCTTGGTCAACAAACGCGACTCTGCCAGGCGAACCTGTGCGTTGGTTGTTTAGTTCCAGTGTCAATCTTCCACTGCTTCAAATTCACGAGTCCCAAACCATGAGTGAAGACGTTCGCCTGCAGGGACAGAGCTTGGCTCGATCTATGCAGAGTGGCTGTCTTTTTGGCGCCCACTTAGTGCATGACATCGTGTGACCCTGATGACATCATGTATGGACGTGATGGACCGGCGGACCCCAGACTCTCCGTCCTCATCGCGCGACTCAGCCGAAACCTCGTCGGAGGCCTCGGAACCCTCGCAACTCGATTCCTCAGGCAACTCGGATGACCTGGCGAAGGGCAAGGGCGTGATCGTGGAGGTGATGAAGAAGTACAAGGAATTTGACGGCGTCACGGTCTCAGGGATCGTGTGGCGCGGTGGGCGCGAAGGTTTCGCACCGTACCGTATGGTGCCAAGAGAGGGGTGGGTATAGGTCACGGAGAGTGTGAGGGTGGTGCTTCGTGCTTGGTGTTTGCCACCAAGCACTCGTGGTATGTCACAACGGTTTCTGCCAAGGACTGAGCAAGGATGACTGGAAAACGGACTCACAAAGTCGAGTTTGAGTACTAATGTCGACTCTTGATTTAGAAAAACACAGAACATAGGAAGAGGTATTTTCGATCCAATTGGGGTGGGGTGGGTTGAATAGTCTACATTGACATGATCACCGAATCCGTTGACCTGAATCCTCCAGTCTTCGTAGTTTACTGGCGTTGAGAGTCAGGTGAGTGTTTGGTTTAAGAGAAGATGACTCAAAGAAGCCCTCACAACGGGGAGGCGGCCAGTTTGGTTGACCAACTGGATTGGGAGAGGCCCTTCTTGGTGAGGAAAGTCAGGAAAAGGGGTTGCCTACAAACGATAGCATTCAGCACCTAGAAAAAGTGAACCTCATGCCTCATGCTTGACAGAAAGATCTTCCTGAAGCCTCAGGGTGAGAAGCGAACAGAAATCGATATCGCGACGATACTTTCACAGGGTATTAGAGCAGGTAGATCCAAGAGAGGCTCGAGAGGCTGCTTTAGCGGGGTCGAACACATTCCGAATGTATCGAAGGATTGTAGACGTCCATTTCTCGGATTCCTGGCCCACCATTAATGGCTTTTACCAAAGAGCCAGTCTTTTACCACTGGATGTTACACCACAAAACCCGGTCAACCCGTTCGTTTCGGAACGGTTGCTCGGCCGGTTGGGTGCGCAGACCGGTGCTTCGAATGCGCAGACCGGTCCGGATGTTTCACCCGACGCAGGACGTGGGCGTCACCGATCGCACCATGATTTGGTGGCTGGGTCGAGAAAGTGGAGGAAAGGAAGACTTCTAGGAACAAAGAAGCTACTAGTAGCTCCTAGCCAAACTAGGAGCAAGAAGCTACTAGAGGGGCTCCTGGCCTTATTCACGTCGCTTCGCGACGGTAACCGCCCGCACCGCATGGAAGGGGCCAATATTTCAGTGACTTCTAGGGCTATGTTAGGCAATATCTTCACTCTATTCCAGTCCCTTTTGAGCCTTCGTTGGGCCATGTTTACGACGTTCAAGTACCTATCTCGGCGAAGCATACTTGAGATAGTGACTTCTGGGGTTATGTTCGACCATATG